GCCGGGACGTCGGCACTGCTCGTACGATAACGAGCCTGAGGAGGCGCTGGAGGAGCAGATGAGGTCGAAGCTCGCTAAAGCTTCGTACTGCTGAGTGCGAGGAATTTTGAGGCCATCTCTGAAAAAGGGACGAGGTCAGTAAACAAATGAGGAAAAAGGTGACGAGGTTAAAAGTGAACGAGCTAAAAGTGTTGAGAGGAAGTTACCTTCAGGGGCTTTCCGCTTCTGTAAGTTGCGTTGCCGAGGTTTGGGGAGCTTCTTGAACTCGTCGGGTTGATCGTGAGAACCGAGGCCGCTGGAGAAGAGGTAGGAGTTCGAGACGAGTGCTTCACCCCACAGTGCGTACTTTAGGCTCCGACCTTGGGCTCGCCTGATGATCTCCCAAGACTTGTTGTTGATCCTCGAAACTAGAGATGGCAGAGCTGCACCGTGAAACCTCGTCAGAAATAAAGACATGAAAATAAAAGACAACCTAGATCGTACCTAAGACACTCACCTATGTCCCGAACTCTACTGGGAGTTGTCAAGTCGGCTCACCCCCTCCGTCCCTCAGAAGCCACTCACCAGAGACGAGGAACCAGCAGTCCTTCCAATTTTTGTTAGAGGAGGGGTTCCTAATCAGCTGACCTACATTCCGCCGAGCTGAGAGGTAGTACCGACCCTCTCTCTCGTTGGAGGCTTTGACGGTGTGGGTCGCTAAGAGCTGATCTACCGTAAGCATGTCCTCATCCACGTCTCGGAGAACCCACCACAGGACGTAGGCTCCGAGCACGGTAGACCACCCATTAGGGGACAGCTGAGCTGGAGCGAGATTAACGGCGCTAAGGAATCTTTGAATAAAGGGGTGAAGTGGAAGCCTAACCCCCCTATTGAACATTTGGGGATAGAAACTGACGAAGCCTGGAGGAGGGTCGTCCAGATGTTCGCCGACGTTGGACACCCTAAGCTCTATGGAGTTGGGAATGAGGTAAGTTTTGCGAAGCTCGGCTAACCTACCTACCGAGCAGTTTGAGGGAGGTAGCTCAGCCACCAGACCAGGGTTAGGGTTTCCTGAGATGGATGCTACGTTGGGGTTTGCCGAGCTATCCCCGACACGAGGGTTTCCCGAGGTAAAGTCTGGGTTGAGGTCCCCTACGGCATTATCCGTACTGGACGAGCTAGACGACCCGGATGATGACTCACTAGACGAGCTACTCATAGTCAGACCTAAGAGAGAAGTTTAAAGAACTACCTAAAGAAAGAAGGAGAGAGTACCTGACTTGGAAACG